CGCGGGGATCCCCGCCCTGCCCCGCCGCCGGCGCGCGGTGGAGGATGGCGAGTGGGGGATGGGAACCCCCGCAGCCCCGCGGCGTCATCCCGGCACTCCGGAGTCGCTGCCCCCCACGCACATCCGGAGGGTCCCGGGGGCGGCCGGGGGGCGGAGTCTCGGGAGAACTTGGGTGGGCCGGGGAGCGCCGGGCCCCGCAGGGGTCGCCGGCCCGGACGGCGGCCGCACTGGCGTCACCGGCCCCTCCCCGCAGGGCTTCAAGATGGGCTGCGCTCCAGTTCCAATAGCCGCAGCGGGAGCCGGGAGCGGCGGGAGGAGCAGACCGACACCTCGGACGGGGAGTCCGTGACCCACCACATCCGCAGGCTCAACCAGCAGCCTTCGCAGGGGCTGGGGCCGCGAGGCTACGACCCGAACCGGTGAGGGGACAGAGCGCTGGGCCCGCGCTTCCTGGCCCGCCCGCAGCGCTGGGGAAAGCGGGCGCCCCGCTGGAGGCTTCAAAACCAGAGGGGCGGCGGGGTGCTGCGGCCCCAGGCCGTGCGCTTCCCTTATGAAGAGCTGGAGGGCTTTGGGAGGCCGTTTCGGGCCCGCGAGGGCAGTCTGGAAGGAATGGGGGAGAAAGCTTTGCGAAGTTGTCCGGCCCGGAGGGTCCAGGACGGGAGTTGACGGCTTGCGCTGGATGCGCGGCTCCTGCCTGCTCAGGTACCGGCTGCACTTCGAGCGCGACAGTCGGGAGGAGGTGGAGAGGAGGAGGAAGGCCGCCCGGGAGCAAGTGCTGCAGCCCATCAGCGCCGAGCTGCTGGAGCTGGACATCCGGGAGGTCTATCAGCCCGGCTCAGGTGTGCGTGGGTGCGGAGTTGGTGGGAGCTGAGCCGGGAGGAGGGCTTGGGGTGCGACCTGGAGCCCTGAAACGCGTGTTCTCCTTCGCAGTGCTAGACTTTCCCCGACGCCCGCCTTGGAACTATGAGATGTCCAAGGAGCAGCTGATGAGCCAGGAGGAGCGGAGCTTCCAGGAGTATCTCGGGAAGATACACGGGGCGTACACCTCGGAGAAGCTCAGCCACTTCGAGCACAACCTAGAGGTGACGCGGAGTGGGAGCCGGGGTGCCCCTGTGGTCCGTGGGGCGATGGGCCTGAGTGGGGCGAAAGCGTGGCTCCGGGCTCAGGGTCTCCCTCACCCGTCTTACCTTCCAGACGTGGAGGCAGCTGTGGCGTGTGTTGGAGATGTCTGACATTGTCCTGCTGGTCACTGACATCCGACATCCCGTGAGTGCTGGAGAGGAGGACGGAGGAGATGAGGCAGGAAGGTTCTTGAGGATCAGAGGCAGGGGATGGAGAACAGAGAGCTATCCTCCTTTTGTGTCCAGCGTTCTTTATCCCGTGTTGCTGCCTGCAGCGGGGAACTGCCTTGTACTTCTCTCTCCTCACTGCCAGGGATCTCTCCCCTGGCCAGCAGACTCCTTGTTACGGTCCTTGATGAAAGACCGTGTGAGTCCTATCTCTGTCTCTCGAAACTGGGTCCGCAGACCATCCCAGGCCCGTAGCTCCTTGGGTTCTGTGAGGGTAGCTGGGAGCTTACCCTGCCCAGCCCAAAGGTGCCTTTTCTCGCTCACCTGGCTTCTCCAGTGCGGCCCTGCCCCTGCAGACCCCGCTGGAGTGCGGGCTAGCGTGAGGGCCGGGCTGCTGCTGACTGGCTGGGAGCGTGGCTCTGGCTCTTAACTGCAGTCCTGGAGTGGGAAAAGGGGTCTGTGGGGATGCTGGCAGTCCGTGATGGGTGTATGTGGACATATCCGCAGGCAAGCGTGCAGGCGTGTGTCTGTACGTGGCACGCTCACACGTACTTGTTTCAGGGTTACCTACATATTTGCACATATGCTTGTGTGAAAACTGTAGTAATTCCTGCTCTGGTTCCCGATGAACCCAGCTCTTGTGTGTGGTAGGATCTCTGGGTCCTTCCGGTTTGTTCATCTCAGTCTTGCCCGTCTGGGGCTGCGCAGGTCTTGCTGACCCTGCTTTGCCGCTTGTGTTCAGTCAGACTAGTTTCCTATGTTCAGCCCAGAACCCACTACTGTCTCTGAGCTGCGCCCTCGGGGCTCAGGGCTGGGGGTTTGGGGGTTCAGGGCTGAGCTCTGCGCACCCCGCAACCCCTGCCAGGTCGTGAACTTTCCACCGGCGCTGTACGAGTATGTGACTGGGGAGCTGGGCCTGGCTCTGGTGCTGGTCCTCAACAAGGTGGACCTGGCCCCGCCGGCACTCGTGGTCGCCTGGAAGCACTACTTCCACCAGCACTTTCCCCAGCTGCACATCGTGCTCTTCACCTCCTTTCCTCGGGACCCCTGTGCCTCCCACGACCCCAGCAGTGGTGAGTGGTTAGTGCGGAGGGTCAGGTGGGCGGGGAGCAGGGTCCCCACGCTCGCCGGTGCTGGGCGCAGGCCGGGTGCTGACCCTCTGTGCCTTCTGGTCCCAGTCTTGAAGAGGACTCGCAGGCGGGGCAGAGGATGGACTCGCGCCCTGGGGCCAGAGCAGCTGCTGAGAGCTTGTGAGGCCATCACTGCAGGGAAAGGTGCGTGGCCCTTGGAGGGCTGCGGGAGGCCAGGGGGAGCAGGAGGTGGGAGCACTGATGTCTGGAGTCGTCTGGCTGAGATTTCCCCACTGCAGAGGTGTGCCAGGGGCAGGTCAGACTGACCCGGTGGGCCGGAGTGGCCGCACTTCAGCGACCTCCTGCCATCAGTCTTCCTGGCGCTTTGCAGAAGCTCAGCGAGAAGAGGCAGCTCTGGGTGGCCGGCTGCGGTGTCGGCCCTGGGCTGTGTGCAGTAGTGAGGGAGCCTCTTTACTTCTCTGAGCAGTGGACCTGAGCAGCTGGCGAGAGAAGATCGCCCGGGACATGGCCGGAGCTACCTGGGGAGGCGGCTCTGGGGAGGAGGAGGAGGAGGAGGATGGGCCAGCCGTCCTGGTGGAGCAGCAGACGGACTCAGCTATGGAGCCAGCTGGCCCGACCCGGGAGCGCTACAAGGACGGAGTAGTGACCATTGGCTGCGTGGGTAAGGGCATGGGGCACGGTGGGGCCGCGTCTGTGTGAGGAGTTCCAATCCCTGTCCTCCGTGTGACCTTGAGCAAGCCCTAGCCCCAGCCTCCGCGCCTCTGGGTCTACAGCGGACGCGAGCAGTGAGGGGCCAGTGGAGCTGCAGAGAGCCCACATGCTTGCAGATGTGACATCAGTGATGGGGGTGATGGACAATCTCAGCACCCTGTGGTCCTTGCTGAGCGCCGGTGCTGTTTTAAGGGCTGGGGGGCCCTTAGTGTTTCACTTGTGGTTATTCGTCTTAGCGATAGGCATCATTAAGCCATGGAAGGGTTGCAGCAAGTGTTAATTGTTCTTTGGCTTGCAGTGTTTTGTTTTGAGATAGATTTTGCTTTGTAATTCAGGCTGGCCTTGAACTAGCCCAGGTTGGTCTTGAACTCTTGGCAGTGCTGCCTCAGCCTCTTGAGTGCTGGGCTCAGGGCAGTCTTCCTGCCTCAGCCTCCTGAGTGCTGGGCTCAGACTTGCAACGCTGTGCCAGAGTCTGACCTGCGGCTTTCCCCTGGGGAAGCAGGGTGTGCACTTAGGTTCCAGGCTGTGTTCATTTTGGTGTGTGTGGTGGGCAGAGTCCTCGGCAGTGAGGGTACCTGAGATGCTGTTGAAACTGCAAAGGGCCCTGCCCTGCGGGTATCTGGGCGTCTGCAGTGGGTAGTTGGGTTCTGTGGAGGGGCCCTATGGGGTCTCCCAGTGTCCCTTGTGTTCCGTGACAGCTGGCTGGTGAGGGCTCCCCCCACCCGTTTCACCTTGGGTTTTTCTCAGCTGATGGCCTGGCTGTTGCTCAGAGAGGCCTCTGCCCTGATCTCTCTGGTGCGGCCTGGACAGCTCTACGTTTGGATTTCCCTCGGCTCAGCGCGTTATGCGGTCAGCGGGTGCCGGCCTCTTCCCACACGGTCGGTGCTGCTGGGAAGCCAGCAGAAAGGGCCTGTCTGCGTGGTGTGAGGAACCCTCGTTTCCTTGTGAGGGTGTGAATCTGTGATCTGAAGTTGGTGATGTGGGGGCAGGAAAGCAAAGAAAGCTATTGGGGGGTGGGAGGGCACAGGGCACTCAGGGAGAGCCCGGGCAGGGAGCTGGAGCCAGGGGGCCGGGGAGCAGGAGCAGCTGGGGACTGCAGGCCTGGCCATTGTGGGTGCAGAACTGGGAGAGGTGGAAGGGGTGTGGGGAGCCCGGGCCACAGCACTGGCTCCTGCGGCCGGGACAGGCAC